TAGCTTGGCTTTATTTGATAACCTTTGATACAATGATAGCCCATGGGGAATGTGATAGATAGGTTAAGTGTTCTTGCCAGCTTGAAATTTTGCCGTCATGTCAATTTTGTTTGAAAGAACATTATGTCAAGTGCCTATGCTCCCCAGGAAAAATTTTGGAAATCCTTAAATTAAACCTTGTGCGCTATTTCCTGAATTTTGAGGGGTGAATTTTGCTTGTAGACTTACTTAGCTTAGTTTAATGATCTCTTTCTATGTGATCACCGAAACCCACTTTCACAAATATCCTAACCCAATGTGGGACAACTGAGCCTCTTGGTTTAAGTCAGTACACCCTTGAGTTATCCTGATGGCTAACATTTCCCGACATCACCGATATGCCTTAAATCATCCATAGCAGCCTAAGGCCCACTTTAGACTAGGAACGATATTCCACTCTGAAACCCTTCGCCACTTTAAACTGGTTTTCTTTAGACACAGGTGGAAGCCTAGCGGGCCACCTGTGGTGTGGGATTTTGCGGATCAAAATGGCGGGAGAAAAGCCGCTTATTTCATCTTTCAACACTAGTCCATGTTTTTACTGTCTGCTACTTGCATTTTCTTGCATTGAGACATTGATGATTGAGTACTTGTCCAAGAGATTGTGTAACAGAGGGTAACCCCAGCCGACTGACCCACATTCAGGATACTGAACCAGTTTCAACCGGATAGCCTGTCTGCCCATTGGCCAGAAACCTGTTATCCTCATCATGGTGTTAGAATCAGCACATGGCTTAGCAAATGCCGTCCTATATGTGCATACTTGGCATTGAAGTTATATTTGAAACAAAACTCCGCATTTCGATTGGTCGCTATTTCGGAACAATGATAGATCCAGGTCACACGTGTTTGTCAGCGTGTGGATGGTTGGTTTTGTGCGGGGATGTGAGGCGTTGGTGTTTAATTGCTGACGACCTACATGTACAAGCATCATGCAGAGTCCAGAGTCAACTTCAGAGATGAGTATGGGAACCCTGCTGTTTCTCCAAGGGAGCAGCATTTGGAGATTTTCACCTCACATGTGAGATGCTAAGTATCTAGTATAGGTATCAAATGCAATTTCAGGGTGGCAAAACTGGACTTTCAAAGTCAATTTCCTGATCATTTTTAGTACGTACCTTCGTACATTCAATCAATCCTATCCCATAGCATTCTGATATCTGTAAGGCAAAAATCTGACGTAGTTGACGGAAATGTCTTACCTAAAATGTTTTGTATCTGGTTCTAGTTATTACCACAAAAATGCCTCTAATAGCTTGTTTTGGGACTATTTTGAATGCTTAAAGTATGAAATGATGTCGAAAATGTGCCAAGAAATGGCAGTCATCCAGAATATTTTTGTTTTGCCACCCAGAAACTGTTACAAATTTGAATGCCTTTAATTTGAAGGTTGAACTTGAATGTTTTTGAACCAAGGCGTGTTCTACAAATGTACTTCTAGGTCTGATTATGCAAAATGTACTCCAGACATTTCTGTTTTATCTGACAACTGTTTTTGGTACTTGACGAGGTGGTAGATATTCAAATGCTAACAAAACATTTCTATGCAAATCATGTCTATCTGTCACAACAGGCTGGCATTTGATACATAGAGTTGACCTAGACTAGTCATCCTTCAAGCCAACTGACATTTTGTTTGACAGCCTTCCTATCCTTCAGTAGAATAGCCAGAGCTGTATAGTTCTCGTTAATATATGCACACTGAAAGGTTTCGCTGGTTTTCACAAAGTTCGTACTCATCTCCAGTGCAGAGCACCCTGGTAATTTGATACCCCACTGGCCTGTGATTGTCATCCTTGTTTGTCGTCCCTGCCCGCATTTGTATGTAAGATCCGGAGGATAATGTTTGAGGTACTCGTGCTCCAGCTTACAGTGGAAAATGCCTCTTTGTGTTGCAGGTAAAGTTCTTCAGGTTGCATTTTCCCTGAGCTGTCTTATATAGTAGGATTGTATACAGGGTTAGTTTGCTTAGCCTGGTTACCAGACTCATCAGGAGCTAAAATAGGTCTGGTAACCAGGCTATAGTTTGCTGGCTTTGGTACTTTACCATGCTCATATGGTTACCATCCCCTTTTGCCATACTGTGCTATCAGATATTGCATTCTTTCCAGCTTTCATAATGATGAGAGCCTAGTTGTTTGTTTCATGATGTAACATGGTAACTGCTTGAGGAAGTACACAAGTCAAGGTTTCTCTGTGAACACTCCAGCAAACATCAGTTTTGTAGTTTGTCAAACTTTTGAGTATGAAGCTACAAAGGAAAAATCATTTGCCTTGCTATGTAGTGTGGTCCTGTGTTCTTCATTGAAAAGTGCCTTGTTTTATGGCTTGACTGGTACCGGGTAACCTTATAGAGTTTAGAAGCCCTGCACTCTAAGTACAGACATAAACCTCTAGGCTCTATACCAGTTCATGGGCCAGTTGCAAGGCCCGGTTCTCATTGGCCAAGACATGGAGACACTACCAAATCCAGAATGGGTGAAAAAGCACTGGCCATGGGTTTTTTTGCGTAAATCTGCGTACTTTTCTGGGAATCTGGGTGAATTTCCAAGGTGCCATTTGCTATTGTTTCCATGTAAATATACTGGGTGAAAATGAAAATTGCACCTATATGACAAAATGGTGAATTCCGGGTGAATTCAAGGTTTCACCCATTGTAAAACAAACAGCAATTTACTAGTGCTAAGTACGCTGGCTGTTTTTCATGGGTTGAATATTGAGCTGACCGCTAGTGGCAGTGTGCTGGCACTTTTTGTTGTTCACTACATAGTTTACCTACCTTTCCGGACATGTGCCAATCCCATGGCTGTTACTAGTATGAGGAATATTTGTCTGGCTGCAGCAATACACGGGAACAAGAAGGTAAAATACAAGATTTTAAACCTTCTTGGTGGAAACCACTTCAAAAAGTTGACTTGGGGCCAAGTTGACTGGGCCGAGTTGGTAATGGTCTTGAGTCTTCCGACATTCATATAAATTGATTTCATTTCAATCGCGGTTTTGAAATTGTAAGATAAGTTTGCAAGTCTTTCACTGTTGACAATTGTGTTTGACTTTGGGGGTACATAATGAAATACTGCTACAGGACCATTCATAATGTTGTCATTGGAATGTTGAATTTGCATACAGGAACAATAGCCTTTCATATATGTTGTCATTGGGATGTTGAATTTGCATACAGGAACAATAGCCTTTCGCACCTTGACCTGCATGACAATATGAATAAATTACAGCTTCTCCAAAAGTGGTGAACGTTTTGATGAGGATTTTCAAAGTGAAAATCATATTTTTTTGGCAATTTATAATACAGAAGGCAATTTTTGGCAATTTTTAACACATGATTTGGGAGTAACCTAACTCATGTTGCGATTCTAATATGGTATACGCCACAAATTGAATTTCAAGACATTGGCAATGAATCAGGCACGGACTGTCATCATAAGATTATAAACTCCACTTGACTGAAAAATGTATCGAAGGGATATCGCCCTGGGTCAGTGTTTGGTTCTATAATCATAGGGTTGAACATCCTATGTGTAGATCAATCTATGCAAAGAACAGTCAGAATTCAAGGCAACACAGGGTGGTAATAAAGCTTGTAAATTTTTGGACATTCTTGCCATTATACAAATTAATTTCATTTCAACCATGGAGGTTCTTCCACTTTACTGTTAACATGTGTTTACATGTACTTTGGAGTTGTGGGGATTTTCAACCGACTAGATAACAAATCTTCAAAATCCACTACCCACTCAAAGACTGCCAGTCAGCACTGCGACATTATGAGGCATGTGCCTGTGCAGTTTATGACACCTATTACCAGAGGTGTCCAATCAAATGGGTGAATCTGGGTGAATTTTCCATTGTAATCGGGTGCAAAGTAAACACTGGAAAATTCACCCATTCCTTGCATAATCTGGTCATAATGCACAAAATTTCACCCATTGCAAAGAAAACAACAAATGGGTGATTTTTATTGAGTACAATGGAAATCACCCAAAAGTACGCAGATTCGCGCAAAAAAACCCATGGCCAGTGCTTATTCACCCGTTCTGGATTTGGTAGTGAGAAGGACAAGCAATGGACAATCAATCCACTGTGTGAAGTGTGTACTTAAAGGTATGATGGCCCTATTGATTCAGGCTAAGGTATACACAGGGTGACCTTACCGAGAAGGGGTCAGATTATTTTAGTTAGTTGGAATCTGGTGGTCGCCTGTTATGGCACACCTTTTCTGGTTAGGTTAGTGGTATGAGAGAGACAAACAATTGTTGTTGGGTGAGGACTCAGGAAAGCAGAAATGTTTCAACATTGGGTTGTTGATCTTTCTTGTGTGGCAAACCTTACCAGTGTGGGAAGGTACGTCTTGGGTGTTGTGGGACAGGGGTACATTGTACTTGTAAAGTGTGAAGTGGTTTGTAATAGAGCACAGGTCCCAGTAGGGCTGTTTATGCAGGTGAAGTTGGAACTGTGCAGGTATTTCTGATGTCTACTGTTGTTGTAAAACAGTATACCAGGTTTTACCCTTACATGATGCATAGGGCAGCGCCCATCTCCGGTTCAACTAAGCCCTTGGGCCACACAGTAGTACAATCACTTCAGCAGATTAAACCACTCTTTGCCAAATGCTGAGTGCTGAGCAGAGAAAGCATTGTACCAAGTCTTTGGTATGACTCGGCCGGACGACCTACCAAATGCAAGGCAAACATTCTACCCACTTGTCCAGTGCACCCCTTATCGTTACATGTACTACCGGTACCTATCGTTATTGTTACTACCTCTGAAGAAATAAATGGCAATAGTTTTTAAATCCTGAGTGATATGAGGTAAAATTTATGTGGTGCAGTTTATTTCAATGTTACCAGTGCAGGTATGCAGAAAAAAGTATTTCAAGCCCTTCAGTGTCTGAGCTGTTGAGTCAATGACCTGACCTGTTGCTGTCCCTTGCTGTTCCCCTGCAGGTCTGTGCTGTCCCTGATCCAGCAGGCCTGGAACTCTGATGACTACCAGGTGCAGCTGTGCATGGTGGCGCTGGGCTGGATCCTCCTCAACATCCTCCTCATCCTGCTGGCCTGGAGGAGACACGGCTCCTCCATCTCAGACATGTTCAGACGACAAGGTCAGTCAGTATATAGCATCTCCACATATGCACAAAGTATATGTAAAAGGAATTTCGAAAAGCCCTTGTCACACATTCAAAACACCAACCCCCAACCAACCAAAATTGGCTGAAGTTAGGGAGCAGTCCAGACCAGATTTAGGCCACACCTACATTTCCATGTGAATCAGATCAAATTTTAGTCACATTTGACTCCCAATCATGTCCTACTCATTAACACCAGCAAACAACCAGCCAGTCATGGCAGAACCTCCCATCCACACACAATTGTGTGAAACATTTTGGAACATTCTGCCACCACAGCCAAATAGTTACTGACCGAATACCAGTCAACCACCTTGCTCCTAACATTCGGCAGTGTTATGGAGGCCATATTCATGCTGTGTGTGACAGGGCTTAACACTGTCCCAGTAGCCAGACTTAAGCCAGTGCTCACTGTCAGCCTCTAATACAGTAACAGGAGTGTTTTGTAGTTCGTAATTCCCAAACCTTATTACGGGATCATGCTGTTTACACTGAAGCTGTTGTGTTATTCTCTTACATAGCTTCAGTAATTGGAGGTGACAAATTACAGTAAGAGTGAGTATCATCTGCCGACTGATCCTAAAGTCAACTGTGCACTGTGTTGACTGTGTTATGTTGTACTATCATACGTATGTGTGCATATGTCAGGGTAGAGACTCCGAATTGGTAGAAATGGCAATTTTACCAGTAGAGATCCCAGTAGAGTCTCTACTTTGACATATGTTTATAGATTTTGAAGACTCCTCTCATCTCCCTACCTATTGGCACACTTATAATACCTTTCCTGTGCCATAAGTAACTTCTGTACCTACGTATAGCTGGTGTTTACCATATTCTTGACGGCTTACATTATAAATGGATCCTCCCCACTCATGAGAGACACCTGTCTGTTTCATCAGGTACTCCAGCCACCTGCAGAGACAGACTTTCCCCAGTACCAGTATTTAACAAAAGACCAACATGGTAAGTATCAGTATCCAATACATTTGTACTTCTGCTGTTGTCAGCATGGATTTCTTGTAGCAAAAGTAAATGAACTGTTATTTGGATGGATGTTTGTATGAATAGCTAGGATGTTAAATAAGATAATCAAATTGTTAATATATTTTACTTCAAACAATTCTGGAGGACTATCTGTGTATTGAAGCATTCTTTTTCTGTGTTCCAGGCAAGATAAAAGTCATCTAAATGGAACAAACTTCAACAGCAGTACAGGCCTACCCAATGGCAATGGCCTACCAAACGGGAGCCACTTGCCAAACGGGAGACTGCGTACAGTTTCAGAGAAGTCGCACCAATCCTGACTAGAGAACGACAGTTCGTTGCCTTGGCAACAGTGCCATTTCTGTTTTTCTGTGAAAACACCTTATCATATATAATTTTCTAAGAAAGAAAGACTGAAAGAGGAAAAAAGAAAGAAAGGAAGACAAGAAAAAAATCTTTCAAGTGCGCTAACAACATTTTATGTTGAACGGCCAAGTCTTTATACTTGGAGGAAAAGAGGAGGAACTGCGTCATTTCTGTTGATCCGGGACTCGTGACAAGCAGGAGTCAGCTCAAATGTTCAAGACTGCAAGAGATTTAAGTGTTGAAAAATAAAAGCTAAGCTTGCCAGCTGTGAAGTGAACATTCAAAGTGCAAGTCTCAAACGTTGATGCAGAATAAATGGTATATTTTACAAGCCATTTTCCTTCAGGACAGTAAAAACAGCAATATCACACACAGAAGCAATTCAAGATGTGGAAGTAAGTTTTCTATACTGGTGCAGCTTTACAAGGTTCAACATTTGCTGACACGTAATGCACATTTTTGACAATGTTCCCACTTCTTGAAGTTTCAACTTTGCTGTTCTACGTACGGGCTGCAAATCGTTCTGAGAAGTGTGCAGGCCTAATGAGACGTCTTATTCGTGACTCTTAAAAAACTCAAGTCTCTTGACTGGACTGCAAGACTGCAGCAAAGTATGATTCTTGAATATGGTTATTGTTCCTCGATACAGAACACTCTTTTTTTGAGTGTTACTGTTCTCTTACTGAGGTCTTACTAAAGCTACTGCTGCTGTACTTAAGGTTAAGGTAGGGTATCATATATTAAAGCTACTGTCATAAAAACCTGTACTAACAACAATATTAGTATATTGCATACCGGTATATTACCCTCTCAATGCTATTTTTTCTGCGCTAATTGTTATGCTTTGCTGCAAAAACTTCGACATAGCAATTTTATGTATTTAAATGTGTATGGATCATCATATCTTTCTTTAGTACTATATCACTTTAATAGGGCCTCAGGGAAAAGTAGTCTGAGACCAAATATGTATATCCATACACATAATGCACTGCTTGAAGTGTTCTTTTTTTTTCAAACTTGTAATTATAAAGCCAAGTGTCTTTTTATTTCTTTCTGTGAAGTTGAAAAACTCCTGTCCATTTATAAGGTGTGTTTTGCAACGAATTGCAGCAATGACAATTCTAGGAACTACTACTAGTATGTAAAAAAATTGAACACACTTAAATGTATCACAGAAGGAGAGATTTATAAGTGAATGCACCGGCGCTGCTGTCATTTATTGTAGACACTCAGTTTTTCCTTTATTTTCAGTGCACTGTTCAATGTAAACCTCTGGGGGTGTGGCCATACAATAACTATTTCAAAGTAGAAAGATTTTCCAGCATTTCAAAGAAGTTAAAATGTTTCAGTTCACGTTACTATCAGTATTCTCTGCTGTGCCATCAAAGCCCCTATTTGTGTGACACGCACCCCTCAGGGATTACCTTGACCAGTGCATCAGTGGCATAATGCATAATTATTGCAGAAACACTGCCTGTTAGTAGTATGTTAAAGAGAGGGAGAGGGAAGGACCCTGCAATGTATTGTATAGACTTTAAACAGGTGACAATAACAGGGCAGACCAAGCAGAGTCTGTTCTTCATTCCAGTGGACAGTGGTGCAAAACAGCCAAGCTAGTGTTAATTAAATTTAAAGCAGGCCGAAGGCTTGCTACTGTATATCTGTTGTTATTACAGTGTATTGGTTACATATAGAACATACAATGTTGGGGCCAAATACCTAAGTTTAGGAAATACATGTAATGGGTGCAATTCTGAATTTGTTGATGTCAATGTGTATAATATGTAATCCAATTATTGATACCATAATGTATCCTTATGTTTCATTAAAGTTCTCTATAACATACTGAATTGTATTATCACTCTTGATTTAGCTTGATGTTTTTTGTCCATAAGGCCACACCAATTTAATTTCTTGGTTAATGGATTTTTCTAGAAAAATAATGGAGCGGGCGGGCGGAAAAAGATAAAAATAAAAATAGGCATCTTATTGGAGCCATGAAGTCAACACACCAGCCTGGTTCAAAATTTAAACAATGAATTTTTAACTTTAAATGATACCATTGCATTCAAAGATGGAATAGCTGCAACAGCTAGGATGAAAAGGACTGTTTTCAACTGTTCAGAGCAAAATATGAGCATTTTGCAGTTGATTCTGAATTTTTATTTTTATTTGCCAATCAGGAAAAAACGAAGCGGGCGAATCCATTAACCAAGAAATTAAATTGGTGTGGCCTTATGTCAAATTTCTGTCCTAGAGTGATTCATTTTTTTTAAAATGAAGCAACTAAACAAAAATAAATGAACCTAGGCATCCTCTGATAGCTCCAAATGCTATGATAAGAGCCATGAAGTCAGCGCAGGAGGCTGGTTTGTAATTAAATGAATTTTAAACTTTGAATCCAAGTGCTGAATTGATAAAAGAGTTTTTAGGAATACATGGACTTTCTCCAATTGAGAACCTCAAATCCTTGCCTGGAATTAAATATACAAAAAGGATATTAAAAGATGGTGACTTCAATCTGAGAGAATGAAAAAAAAGAGAAACCCTGACAAGCTAATCACTGCTACTTAGCTGTTCTTCTCTCCCACAATCTAAAAGGTGTCATTGGACAGCTTTCAGCACCAAGGACAGTTCTGTACCGTACACATCACACACTTCTTGTTCAGGCAAATCGTTTATGTCAGTACAAAATGTAACGTTATAATGACACCGACACACGAGCCCACAATCCAAAAGGCGTCATTGGACAGCTTTCAGCACCAAGGACAGTTCTGTATCTTACACATTTCATACTTCTTTTCTAGGCACCAACGTTTACGCGCAGCGTTTATGAGATTACAAAATGTATAGTGACACCGACACACGAGCCAGTAAAGCGTATGAGCCTCTACTGGGCTTTGGAAGTGGTTGTAAAGAGTTAAAATTGGCCATATAACGTTAGACAGATAACATGCCAGGGGAGTTAGTCCGCTAAAAGAGTAATAGTTGGCCGCTCCCGGACTGTAACGTAACTCCTTTAGAGGATTAACTCCCCTGGCGTGTTGTCTCTTTCGGCAATTTTAACTCAACAGCCGCTTCAGAAGCTATCGTTAATACCATGGGGTAGTTTAGGACGCAACGTTTCTAGATAAACAGTTCCGTAATATTCCGCTAGAGAGCGCACATGCCTATGCCACTGCAATGTTTACGTCATGTGCACCCCGGCCTTAGTACTAGTGTGAAACAGTAGGAAGGTGTACGTGACTTGCGTGCTCGTGTCGCGCCGAACTCTAGACAGAGGAAACTATCATGGCTCGTCGTGCTGTCCCCAGATTCGAGGCCGTGAAGCTCACGCGGTACAAGCACGCCTGCCACGCGATGTTTCACGCTCCCAACGAGGACAAGTTGTTCGGGAGAATTCCGATGCGACACACTGTTTTGGTAAGTTATAAATATTAGGGGGTGGGGATATAATGATATCTGTTGCAGAGGAAACGCTTTCACAGCTATTGTTGGCTGATACCATCGATTAACCTTTTAAACGTGGGAATAGGAATGTGCCTTTCAGAAAAATATGCTTGTCACGTTCCATAACGTTTAGACAGTCGAACTTCCAGCATGCAGACCAAGCTATCCGATTACAACATCCTTTCCAAGGCCCCCAGTCAGGTTCGGCAGAACGGCAGGTGTCTAGGTGACTGTCACAAGGAAATTTAGTGCCAGTAATTTTGCCCATGTAAGATGACATTCCCTCCTGAAAAAATACAGCTGCTGCGCTGAGCTGTTGAAAGGCATCCAGTGCAATTTCAAGCAGAACAACAATATTCTGTCTGATATTGACATTTACTCCCATTTCTTAGTACATTTTTGTTATCATTTCATACTTGAAGCGTTTGAAATAGCCTGAAAATAAGCTATGTGAGGAGTCCCTAAATTTTGGTACCATCAATAAATAGCTAAGAACCAGCCTGAGCCCTTGAATCTCGTTCCGTATGGGTGGGATTCCAGGCTTTTTTTCCTCACACAGTCACAGATATCAGTGTGCTATTGGATGAGCTAGATTCACCTTACTACTAACTGTTACTACATTTAAAAAAAGATGACCAGAAAATTGACCTCCAAAATCCGGTTTTGCTACCCAGAAATCACTTTGGGTGCCTTTGATAACCCTGTTTGCATTCTGTGTAAGTAAACAGTGGGCCCGCAGTTCAAGCACCATTAACTGACCCAATCCAACAGGTCCGGACCTGTTACAACACCTGTTGGTGCATGCATTGGGTTCTCAAGCTGGCCCAGAAAAAGGTCCAGACCTGTTAGACTGGGTCAGGTAGTGGTGCTTGAACCCTACTGTTACCCTACCTATATACAATCTTGTCTCCTATCACTGTAGATGCAGATGCGGTTCGATGGGCGGTTTGGGTTTCCGGGTGGATTTGTGAACCTGGAGGAAGGTTTGGAGGCTGGACTGAACAGAGAACTGGAGGAAGAAATCGGTCTGGATGTCAGGATTTTAGGGATTACTGAGGGAGACTGGGCAGTGACTGAAGTACACGACGAACAAAATTTTGTCAGTCATTTTTACATCAAGAAGGTAACGCCGGAGCAGATCAGACAAATCGAGACAGCGGCAACTACGGCAAAGGACCATGGTTTGGAGGTTGGAGAATGTTTTCCAAAACATCATGTCTATAAAGGACAACTAACATAATTCTACCAGGTCAATCTGAAAGTTTTGGATTTGAATCCCTAATAGGTCTCTCTGTTTTTGACTGCTTTTAGAAAAGACAGTGTTGCCAATTTCTTCATTTGACTCAGGTGAAAATGAGTACCTAGCTTCAGCTAGGGACATCAAGGGTCTTTGACAATTCATGCAATACAAAATTTGATAGAATGTTTCTGCTGATTACACTAAAAAAATTTGCCCAATGCCCAATCCATTATGTTTGACAGAAAAAACTAGAATGTAAAAATTTTCAAAGGGACTTTTGCCCCTCAAAATGCAGCACGTAAGAGGGTAAACATTTCCCTAGGATTCTGTGCCTTTAATGCTAAATGAGATGGGTGAGGAAATTTTGAGGATGGCTAGAACACTACTAGTACAGATTTTAGGGCCTTGTGTATGATAAAAATATCTGAATGCATTTATTTCTGTCCTATATAGTCTCTGGGACTGGTTAGAGTTCCAGTCTACACTTTGCCGAGAGACAAGGTGGGGGGGCTGCCTGCCTTCCTATCCAACACCTTCATAGGGACAGCCAGGGAGGAGCTGCTGATGGGACTAGAACAGGAGGGAATCCTCTCTCATGCTGAAATACAGAAGGCCCTCAAGGCCAGTACCACCAGACGACATTAGTTGTTAAAGCAATATCATGTAACATTTTTGCGCCAAAACATCATTCGTAGCGATGGGAAGATGACAGACTCGAGACGGGATTCGACCGGTTTCGACTTTAATTCAGTCTTTATCAAGAATGACAGAGATCGGACCACTCCTCCTTTTATACTTTTTCCGTGCCTATCTAGTGCAGGGCGCTCTGCTCGAGTTTTAGATATTGACCAATCAGCATTTTTGCGCCAAAACTGTATATATAAATAATTGAAATTTTCTCATCTAGATCGCCATTTTCAACTTTCAACATATTAGCATCCCTATTTCGCTTTTTCGGCAACTCAGCACAGCGTGAGAATAAGTTGCACCAGGCTCGCTGTATTTCCAGGAGGCTCCTATAAAGAAAGTAAACAAACAGCGGTAAACAAAACAAGGAGTTGTCAGTTCTTGGAACTTATGTTCACAGTGGCGGCAGGTACAGAAGAAAGAAAATCCACAAATTATTTGTTTTAAGTAAATATAATGATAAATTTGGGATACAGAAGTGACCATGAAATCTGCGAATACAGTGTAAAAGTACTGCAAAAAATTGTAATTTACAGTAGCCAATTATATCATGCAGCTTACAGTTCTTGCACTTGATAAAGGTATAGGTTGACAAGGGAAAATCTCTAGCCAGGGCTCATGACTCTCTGTTTTAGAAGTAAAGTATGTATTGTATTTAACTCTGGTGAATCTTGTGTAACAACCAGAACAGTATTTGTCTAGAAAACTAGACTTCACAGATCTACTTGTAAGCACGAAAAAGATGTGTTGACTTGCCATTTTTCAAGAGAGTGTGTAACATAGGCTATCCATAACCCATGTATTACAATACATGTACAATACAGATGTACAATGTGTAATACTATGTATGTTTGTCATATACAACTGTAGGTCATATCATACATGTACATGTACATAATGTTACATGTACCTCTAGTTCTGCTCATGGATGGTTGGAGTATTTTATGGTATTCTTTCTTTTTGAACCTTTTCAGTATTGTACAGCTATGAGATAAATACACAAGAGCTTTCTACTCTGGGTTGTTATTTTTGTGCAGCTTTCTGGGTACCTTGTATAGTCTTAATCAGAAGAATGCTTTTCTAAAGCACACATACAGTAAGAATGTTTAAAACTTTTCGTGGTAGAATTATGCTGGTCTCATGATGTTTTGAGGAGAAAATGCAGGTGTTCCCAATCTGGTGAATTTTTGAGAAGACAAGAAAATGGCGAGCTTGTTGGGAGACAGAGGGTGGTTCAAAGGCAACTTCACAATTCATACAGGTAAACAACAATTTTGCTAACACTGTTCCCTAGCAAATAGTCATATTTATCAACTTATATTCAGAAAGATATGATATAGTCCTCGTAGTTCCAAATGGCCATTCCTGATTTCAAACAAACTTTGAAAGAGTCAACTTTGCCGTGCATTTCATGTGAATTTTAGCTTCTTTTTTTAAATCTTAATATTCTTAATCTCGATTCTTCTTGGAAAGACAAGGTCAATTTTGCCACCCACCCATACTTTTGTATCTTATTTTTGATGTCAGTTGTGAACATTCAAGTTTAGACCCCTCCCAAGCAGACTGTACTGAAATTGTTCCAGATTGCTGCTAGGGAGGGCTGTGATGTTGGCAACTGTGCAGAGTGACTTATGTGGAGATGGAGCCTTTTGCTGGATGGGGTTGAAGATACTGTACTGGTGGTAATGCATTTAATTGTTACTTTCAGGACAGAAGTATTGTTTAAAGTAGCGCTGGTTTACGGGAATTTTGTATGTTTGGGTTCCAGAGTACTAATGGTTCCTAATGGTAGCAAGTTAAATACTGATTGGACCGATGAGATTATCTGTTTCTGTGTCTATATGACCGACTTTGGCATAACACAACCAGCTTCGAAGGCACATTGGCACAGTTATATAATAATACTTGTGATCCTAATGCACCATACATTGTCGGTCAATCCCATCTAGGTGTTGAACATCCTCCCTTAGCCTTACACACACACAGACATTCCTGTCCTTGGTGCTGAACACAATCCACAGATTCCACACACAAACACACCTGTCCCTAGTGCTGAACACCATCAACACACCTGTCCTTGGTGCTGAACACCATCAACACACCTGTCCATGGTGCTGAACACCATTCACACACAACACACATGTCCTTGGTGCTGAACACCATCCACACACAACACACCTGTCCTTAGTGCTGAACACCATCCATTCCACACACAAACATACCTGTCCTTAGTGCTGGACACCATTCACACAACATATCTGTCCTTGGTGCTGAACACAATCCACACATTAATACACCTGTCCTTAGTGCTGAACACCATTCAAACAACATACCTGTCCTTGGTGCTGAACACCATCCACACATAACACACCTGCCCTGTTGAACACCATCTACAAACACAAACACACTATAGTATGGTTGATGTTTTCCTCTCAACTCCTCAAGAAAAATGAAAAAAAAAACTGATGGGTAAACCAAAGCCGTCTCCATGAATAATGGTTTACGAGTACCCAATTTTGCACCATATCATTCGAATCACAAAACAAGAAATACAACACAGACCTTTGGCTCCTTCAGAAGACATGTATATTGTATCATACAATCATGTTTACAAAAGCACAGTCACTGGCAGTTCTGCCCTATATAAGGCAGTTTTGTGTCACAAAATAGAGTCTGTTTAAAAATCTGCATTTACAGGCACACTTATGACATAAAATATTATAAATTACTTGTCTGGTTATAAAATGTTTGGTAGATACATTTCTGGTATGTAGAGATATTAAGTAAGTGGCACTGTAATGTACACATTCAGATGACATTTTTGTGATGTCACATTGATTTTCGTCTGCACTTTATGCAAACATATGGTACATTGTTTATATGACTTGTGTGGTGCAAACATAAAGTATTCCACACTTATAAGATAATAAATAAATAAATTCATATGCTGCTGACGTAGCATTAGCTTTATCAGTATAGCACATATTTTGAAATAAATAAATCAGTATAGCACAAATTTTGTGAGTCTGTAATCCCTCTTAATCCTATGAGCTAGCAGGGCTCACAGAGTTGTCTCGGACAGTGTCCTCTCCCTCTGCTGCAGGGGATGTGTTGACCTGCATGCTCATGGTGGAGTGGCTCATTCCTTGGCATGACTCGGCTGCCATTTTATTTGTTGACCACATAACCAGCTGACATCTCTGCCGTATGGAGAGGGAATTTTTTGAATTCTCTAGCACAATTTCCAGTCCTTGGGGCTCATCTCCTCTCAGCAAGGCTGGTGCACACCAAAACCGATGCGGTGCTTTCTTCTCAATCAGGACTTCCAGTCCACGAGGCTCATCAGCTGCTTTAAAGTCCAGGAGGTTCATACACGGCTCTTCAACCTCTTGGTACGTGGGAGGCTTCTCTGGTTTCCACCAGGAGGATGGTGCTTCAGGACTCTGTGGCTTCATGTCTCCGCTACCGACTTCAGTAGTTGGCAGATCCTTCAATGATGGCACATCATGCTTTGGCCTCCTGTCTTCCTCGTCGTGCTCTTCAGCATCTAGCAGTGTGGCGCCGTTCAGTAGAATCTGGGGCACTTCAGCCGCCTTCTGGACTGCCTCCTCCTGCTCGTCAGGATCTAGCAGTGGCACGCCGTTTAGTAGAATCTGGGGCACTTCAGCCGCCTTCTGGACTGCCTCCTCCTGCTCGTCAGGATCTAGCAGTGGCACCCCATTTAGTAGAATCTGGGGAACTTCAGCAGCCTTCTGGACTGCCTCCTCCTGCTCGTCAGGATCTAGCAGTGGCACCCCATTTAGTAGAATCTGGGGAACTTCAGCAGCCTTCTGGACTGCCTCCTCCTGCTCTTCAGCATCTACCAGTGGCACGCCGTTCAGTGGAATCTGGGGCACTTCAGCCACTTTTTGGTCTGCCTCCTCCTGCTCGTCAGGATCTAGCAGTGGCACGCCGTTCAGTAGAATCTGGGGCACTTCAGACGCCTTCTGGTCTTCCTTGTCGTGCTGTTCGGCATCTGGCAGTGGAGCTCCACTGGCTAGTATGGCAAATACATCGCAGATAGCCAGTGGAACTCCGTTGAACGTAATCTGTTCAGTGCCACAGGTTTCTTGAATCACTTCTCCCTAAAGAAGCATCGTAAGAAGAAAACAAAAATTAGTTTTATGATCCATGTCCTGCTTCCGCAACTTTCTGACCATTTCCTGCTGATGAGCCATTCTCTCATCATTACTTTTTTTTGATCTATTGAATAAAGAGATAAATAACTTTTGATTATCCTCTGGGTATTATTAAACTATCATGCAACCTTGAACATCATGTGCATTAAAGCATTGGTCAACTGATTCAGACATTTCTGTATATACATGTAGACATTGCGCTGAGAAAATTCTTAACTTATTCCTATGCATCTTACTCAGCTCTTATCATTCTTGCATTACAAAGCCCAAATCAACCTTTTTTAAAAGTCACATACCTCCTGTATGTCCTGATGGATAGGCCTTGGGTCATTCAGGACATTTTCGGCTTGCAGAGTTTGCGAGAGCATGTGTGGGCTGGCCTCGTCACATCTAAATGATGAAGATAGTACATGTTTATGTATACCACCATTAGGCCACACCAATTTAATTTCTTGGTTAACGGATTTTTCTACAAAAATAATGGAGCGAGTGGGCGAAAAAAAAAAAGAAAAAAGGCTTAGGCAACCTATTATGGCCCAAAATGGTACAATAGGAGCCATGAAGTCAACACACCAGACTAGTTTAAAATCTAAACAATGAATTTTGAACTTTTAATGATACCATTACATTGAAAGATGAAGTATCTGTAACAACTAGGAAGAAAAGGACTATTTTCACCCGTTCAAGCATTTTGCAGTTGATTCTGAATTTTTTTGCAAATAAGAAAAAATGAAGCGGGCGAATCCGTTAACCAAGAAATTAAATTGGTGTGGCCTTATAATAGATGGAAAAAAAATCATGGGGGCAGATATT